CCCATGTACCGTGGCAGGCCATGAGGAAGAGGTCAAGGGCCTCAGACTCTCAGAAGAGCTCCGCCAAGAGATGACAGGTGCTGGATTTGTAATGAAAGAGGACACTGGTCGCGTAAATGTCCCTTTTCATATCAGCAGTCACAGGGTGCACAGCGACACCAGTATCAAATCTACCCACCTCCACAGGCATATGACTGAGTCACAAAAGACTGACATTCTCTCACATTCTAAGCCCACCACCGTTAAGACCATGATGCAGTTCTTAAGACTTATTAATTACAGCAGGCTTAGAATGCAGCCTCTGTGTGTCCGGGAGCTCCTTTCTTCCAGCAGCTTGTCTGGAGCAGGGAGCCACCCGGGGCTTGTTTGTTGTTTGACAAAATCATCTCACTACAAGGCAACTGGGCAACTCCAACTCCGAAGGAAGATCATGTGATACAGTCAAAGGCTCCAGAACTACTCCTCGTAAAAGTTTCTTTGGCTACATTGACTTTACCTGCTGCAGTGGCCTAAAGCTTATTTGTTTTTCCCTCTGAGTCAGATCTGATCTTTTCATGGATGTGTATGCAATCCCGGACATGTTACTGTTAAGGAAAAATTCTGTAACAGAGACATTGAACTATTAGCTGTTAGTGTAGGGCTGTACTATATTCCCAGGGAGTACGCTCATGTAATCGTGGTGACGGTGTACATAAATCCCTCCGCCGATGCTACTGCTGCATGCGAGCACTTTCAGAGCACCGTGTCTAGGTTGCAGACACAACACCCACATGCTTAAATCCTCATCTCAGGGGACTTTAACCATGCCTCCCTCCCCTTCTCTGCCACCCTCCCTAACTTCAAACAGTTAGGGAGGGTGCCGCTTGAGGGACAATAAAACTCTGGACCTACTCTATGCAAATGCCAGAAGTACATACACTTCCACCCCCGCTCCCCCCTCTAGGTCGCTCTGACCACAACCTTGTCCACCTGTTTCCAGTTGTTAGGTATTTTTAGTCAGATAAAAATTAGATAGATACTTTATGTATTAGAAATGTTTAGTGGAGATAGGATGTCTAGTTAGACTGTTAAATGCTTAGTCATGCTTATGAATTTCTACAGGGTGCATCTGGTCAAGGATACTAGAGAGAAGAGTTGATGACTGTCAGCAGACAGGGTGTTTAATATTATTATTATGACGTGTATAACTGTAGCCTTAGC